GGCCTCGCGCCCCCGGAGACGCCCCCTCCCGCCCTCGCGGTGCCCAGGGAGCCAGGAAAGCCTTACGGTCCTTTGACGGCGACTCGAAAGCTCACAGCTCGTGTGCTGCAGAATTTATTCCAATGAGCAGCTAAAGTATCATTTAAAAAAAATACAAAAAAATACAAAAAAAATACTAAAAAACAATTATTTAGGGTGTTTGTGATTGCTGACTGCGCTGTAGATACCACTGTTTACCAATGATTTCCTGTGGTGGGATAGTGGACTGTTTACTGTTCTATTATACCAGTCCCCGGGCCCTCCAGTGGGAACGCCGCGGCCTCCCCGCGGGTCCCTGGAAGGTGCTAATATATATAAATATATATATATAATTTTTTTTGCTCTGTTACTTGCATATTTTACATTTACCTCATTTTTCCCATGTATGTATTTGAAAAAAGGCTAATATATAGAAAAAAAGGTTCTTAAAGCTCTAAAAGTGTTTGTTTTTTTTCCATTCCATTGGAATCATATTGGTTTTGTAGCATTTAACATAACTAGTATGTTGTATTATATATATGTGTATTATACTGATTGAAATTTTTAACAGATTTGTACTTTTTTTAAAATGAAAGTTGCTAGTTCTGCTTGACCAAGTAGTGCAATCATTATTTTTTTTAATGTTGTGGCTGATTTTGAGAGGGATATTCACTAATAAATGTATGATGTATACCAACACGCTGTGCCCAGCTCTGTCCTTGTGGGGGCTCGATGAGGTGCTGGGGCAGCTGACGTGGGGCCGACGCGGTGGCCGGACGCTTGCAGGCCGGTGTCTGAGTCGGGTGCATCCTTTGGGGCGTTTGGGGCCGTGCTGCCAGGAGTCCCTATAGGGCATCCAGGGCGAGGTGGGTGCTGCTGCGTCTGGCCTGTGTCACCAGCCCCACTGGCAACCTGTGCAGGAAGCAGGACGTGAAAGGACTCTATCTGCCTGCTCCCCACATCCCATAGGCATCCCCTGCTGCGGGCAGTGCGGCCACGCTGGCCCCAGGGGTTGCCAGATGGCCAGGTTTAGCTCCGCCGGGCCTCCTCCTGCAGAGCAGGGCCAGGCAAGCTGCAAGCCAGAGCTGGCTCAGCCCCAGCTCTGTCTCGCCACGTCACTTACTGCTGAGCCCATCATTTCTTACCCTGCCACATCCTCTGGTTTCAGCATCCAACCCCCAATCTGGCCTTAGGTGGTTACAGTACCCCAGGGGCAGAAGAGAAGGGATCAGGACAGCAGATGGTGCCAGAGTTTGGCAAGAGCTAACTGCGGTCCTAGCTTTGGAGATGGCTGAAGGGCTCTGTGATCCAGCAGCACCACAGTGCCCCTCACTCCTGCCCAGTGGTCCTTTGCACAACGTGGCTTGCATTGAGGTGGAAACTTGCCCTGGACATGATCCTGGGGCAGCACCTGTGCCTGGGTGGGTCCATCACCTAGGAAAGCAGCATCCACCTCCCCCGAAGCCCCCCCCCGCCAGGGGAAGAGGTGGTCCTTGCACTTCCCTAGCTGGGTGGGGCACTAGTACAGCCAGGCTGACCCAAAAGGCACCTTCGGCAGCCAGAGGCAGGGTGTTTCAAGCTGAAGGGCTCAGGGTAGTAGTACCCCAAGCACCCTACAGCGCCACGGTCTTTCCAGGCCCCTGCTGACCCAGAAACCCCAGCTTCTGCCTCACCCCCAGGATTGGGGGCAAGCTGGTACCCAGCTGTACTAGCCCAGGTGGTCAGCTAAGGACTCAGCTAGGGCAGCATGCCACCCCACATACACCTAGGGGACAAGGGGGCAGCAGCTCTGGCTCCTCCTGGCTGCTCCAACGCTCCCGGGTCAGGAAGGGAAGAACTCTGCTTTCAGCAGAGAGAGTTCCTCCATCATCCTCCCAAAAGGCCCTGCCCAGCCCTGAAGCTACCATGAAAACAGGTGTTACTGTCAGGAAAGGGAAGCAAAGGACTATCTCCTACAGCTTTCTCTCTCCAGCAGGGAGAGCATCCCTTCTCTTTCCTTTATTTCACACAAGCAAATGACGTGCACCAAGTGAAACAACCCTAATTCTCTCTCTGTTCAGAAAGAGATTACTAACAGGGTAGGCAGAAGGGAGGAAAAATCTCCCTTTAGCCATGAGGTGAAATTGCAGACAAGCTCTGAACTGGACCCTGAGACACAGGGGCTTCACACGCACAAAGGAACCCTTTTCTAGAGGGTCCTACAGCCACCCTTCTGCACAGGGCACCTTGCATGCCAGGCACTCCTCTCCCTCCCTTTTTCCATCTGTAGTTTTGTCCAGGAGGGTTGGCTCAGCAACAGTTGCACCCTAAGCAAAGGAAAGGTATTCTATGTTCTACCTAAACTCACCTCCTAGAGTCCATACCACAGGTACAGCAGCAACACCAAGGGTGCCTCCTCCCACCCCTATTTGGATAGGCTTCATGTTTGTCTTGCTCCTAGAACTCTATTTCAATAAAGAGCCAGCCCCAAGGCAGGCCAGAGGTTAAACATATCCAGCACCACACTGTGAGCACTGACTTGCTGAAGAGCTGCAGCAGCTGGAACCACATCCCCCGGGCTTGGTTTCAGCAGGGCAACACCACTGGATGTGGCACAGGCAGAAAGCAATTGCACAGACATGCTAGAGGCAGAGTTTATTACACTACGCAGGCTAAGAACCCTGGGCAAGATCCCACACGGGTAAGAATTGAACCAGCTCTTTATCAAAAAAATTAATACTATATAGTCAACCCCCTTCTCCTTTGGTCATTACAAAGCAAGAGAAATATTAAAAGAAATGTATTTATACATAGAGGGAAGCTGAAGAAATTCTGTCCAGCCCTCCCCCCTGCCCCACTCCCAGCACATTCAGGTGCCCAGTCTTCTGGCTGACTCTCAGGAGCAGCAGAGTATCAAATCTTCACAAGATGTCAGGTTGTCGGAGTTTTATTATTATTGTCAATAAAAGCAATATTTACCGAGAGCTGCCATTCCTGTTCCTCCCCGGGGAGGGTGGAGGGGCAACACCAGCTCCCCTCCCTCTCTGCCCTCCAAGTATAGGGGATGGCTGTGTGCACGGGTGTGTGAGGACGTGCACACACTTCCTCTCGCCAGTGCACACACATAGCACGGCTGGCACAGGCGACATGGTCTCTGATCCCTCGTTTTTATGCAGTCTTAAAAAAAATATCGTATTATAATAATATGAATTTCTTTCCATTTGTGTATTCTGGAAAAGCGTCAATCGTCCGTAAGGTCCTGCACAAAGAGGACTTCCGTGTGGCTGAGTCCGGCCTCCTGCAGCGTGGGTGGGTTGGGCCACTCCTCTGTAGGGAGGCAGGGCAGGACACGGCGAGGAAAGTTGGCCTCAATCTGGAACTTTTCAGGGCTCTCTTTCAAGGAGAACAAGAAGTCATGGATCACCTGGGAAGGAAGCACAGAAATAACTGCCAGCTGGGGGAGCAGTGATACAGCTAGACTGCATCCATAGTATCTCATGGGGGGGTGGGGGGAGGGGGGGGAGGGAAGGAATTCCTGCAGAATTTGCACCATCACTGCATTATAGATGAGAGCCATTTTCTTAGCATGCATGAAGTGGGACCTGTCACAGAATATTCGGAGAGTCCAGATACTGTTAATGGATTTCCTGTACCCCTATTTAACAGGAAGTAACAGGAGTCCTCACCTTCTGGGGAAAATTTCTTCCCTTGTTTTTCTTCCAGTCTTTCTCTTCTCTTCCTGTGTTGGTGGGATTTAGCCCAAAGGCAAAACACACCCTCCTTAGCAGACAGACTTGTTCTTGGGTAAGGCTCTAGGCAAAGGTCACTATTTGGCAAAGCTCAAAGGAGTCAAAGCTTTCCTGAGCCACCTGAAGAATCTCCTACATCTTTCCTTCTCTGTTTGGGAAGCCTGTCAGCTCTGCCCCAAGCTCACCGTCAATGACTGTGTGAAGTGGAATCGCCGCTCCACTCTGGAATCATTAGGCAGCTTGAAAATGATCTTAACGCTCTCAGGGTCATCAGGATGCGGCTCAGGAGGAAGGCATTCAGACTTCCGCTCCTTCTCCTCCTGCAGCGTCTGTAAAGTAATGAGGGAGTGGGAGTAAAGCGTATGCACTGAACTGGTATCTATGCTTATCCCATGCAGCACAGCTGCTCCAGGAGGCTTGGAGGAAGACAGGCAAGCCCCAAACAGGACTAGCAACTCCAGTCTGACCGGAAAACCCCACTGCAGGCACTACTCCTACACACCATGAGCATCCAACAGCACGCGGCAGCTTCTCTGGCAGTCCCGGTTCGCTCTCACCTGTCGCCGTCTCTCCTCTGCTAGTTTCTGCTGCTGCACTTCCTCTTCCTTCTTCTTCTTCCTCTCCCGTTCTTCCTTCTTCTTGCGCTCCTTTTCCTGGTCTGCACGCAAGGATGCCAGATATGCCTCATCCTGCTGCTGCCTCAGAACCTGGGTTTGGTTCCTCTCTTCCCTGCAAAAGTGAGCAGGGGAAGGTCAGGGCTAGCAGGGCCAGAAGTTAAGGCAAGGGACACTGATGGCAGACCTGAGGATGCAGATACAGCCTCAAACGTGCAAGAGCACACACGTTAGCTAGTGCCCCATTTAGAGTGCAGAGGATTGCATATTCCTAAAAGGCAGTCCCTCTACAGTCCCTAGCCCACAGACTGTTTCTTTAAGCTGAGGTTGAGTGGAAACAGCCTGAACACAAAAGATTTCTCACCCAGTGCAGCTTGACTGACTGGACAAATACCATATAAGCAGTGCACAGATTTCTGCCTCACACTTGAGACTCTTCATGGTTTTATTTCCTTCTCATAATTCCTTGTGCGTTTTAAAAGCCACAAGCATCAAAAGCATGTTACTGGATCCCCCACAGAAATCGCAGGGCAGAAAAGGGGAGGACAGAAGCCCAGAAGTTGGCATCCTGCTTTGGACACAGCCTGCACGTCCCCACACCATTATCAGTAACTGAGCTTGTGCTAGCAAGGCACCAACAGCAACACAGCAGCACGTCAAAATTCAGCACACCCAGCCTGAGCAGCACCACTCACTCACCAACTAGCTGCAAACATCAGCTCTCCTCCCGTCTGCAATACCTACGTGCCCACTTAGCTCCTACTGGCTGGCTACATCCAAACTTTACCTGCAAAGCTCCAGTGCGCTAAGGGTTTGTTCCAACTGTGAAAGCTAGAGTAGAGCTGTCACCCTCATCTTTCAGTATCAGGCATATATGGGCAACTCCTCCCTGGCTATATAGTGGCCTGAATTACTGGACCACAACACAGCCTTGTTTACAACAAGGCTCCCACTGTGAAGATGGGCTACCACAGGCTGCGTCACAGAACAGGAGATAGGTGACCCACCTGCCTACATATGGTGTGTCTGGAGGGAGGAAGGGAACAGAGCGGAGCCTACCTTCACAAGGTCAGCATTACTGGAGCTCAGGTCCCAGCATACCTTTCCAGGCGCTCAGACACCAGGTAAGTCTGATTGGCATCCATGATGAACGTCAGTTGATTAATGAGGTCATCAGCCTGGATGAGGCCTTCTAGTCGCCCAACTACCGTCATTCTGCGATCTTTCAGCATAATCACAGCCAGGAATGGGTATGTGTTCTCTCGCAGAGCCTGGGAGACTAGGAGATGGGCACAAGCGTCACCATAACCAGCCCAGTGAGTAAACGTGTCTGCTTAGAAAGCCGTTCTTTCAAGATGTCAATGGCTGGCAGCTGAACTATGAAACCAGAAACGATCCAGATTTAATTCCAGAACTCCAAGCCTCTGTTGCCATAAACCCAGAAAGGTCAAAAGCAGCACAGAAGGCATAAACAGAACTTTGGGAAAAGTCTCCATCTGTAGAAAAACTCTACCGTAAACACTGGAAGACCACATCTTCCAAGGAGACAGAAAGACTGGATGTGGAGTAAAGATGACTGGGAAGAGGGAATAACGCATGTAACAAGTCACTTCTAGCCTCAGGCATAATACAAACCACTGTTAAGGTAACTGCTAATTAGATACTTGTTTCTGCACTCAAGTTTCTAATTCTTGGTATAGACCCACCAACTCCCATTAACAAACCACTGAAAGTAGCTTGAACGTCTGCAAATCGTAAGCAACTAGCATTGCCCAGAAACGTACGCAACAGTTGAGGTTAAGAGCATGACTATTTCCTTAGGATCCAAAACAAGCCCTCTGAGATAACACACAAAACACGGCACATGTTTTTCCCAAGCAGTCCTGCAATCTCTCGTCTGCTTTCACAAAAGCCAGAGCGTTCCAAACATGGAAATTCATCAAGGAGTATTTGTCTTGTTCCAGAGACAGGAATCAAGGTAATCGGGTCAAGTCCAGAAGGGACATACTCACCTCTGTATCCCTCTGGTTTATTGGTTGAACAAGCCCAAAAGAGCATCCTAGTGTTTATGAGGGTGATCACCTCAGGTACGCACAGCGTATTGCTAGAGGATGAGAAGAGACCACGTGAACGAGACTGCATTTCAAATGGAAGGCTAACTATTTGGGAAGCTTTGCTCATACCTACCGGCAGAATTCATCAGTATCTTGGTGGTCATCTCCGTGAAGATAAACCAACAGGAAGCGCAGCTCCCGCTTCGCATCGTTCAGTGCCTTGGGCATAAGAGCAAAGAAAGTAAAGTTACAGGGTCTTTAGGCAAAGGGAAAGTGGCACGCACAAGACTTGCGTGAAGCAGCTCAGTGGCATTTACCCAGGACATTACTCTGCCAGTAATGCGGTTTTAATGAAACGGCAATGGAGGACAAGCCTACCAGACCTTCTAACTAAACCGTCATTCAGGAGGGCCACAATAATATGAACGTGCTTTCATTCTGCGGCTTTGGAGAATGCTGAACTCTGATCAAAGCCAGGTACACAACTGTGCAGCTGGACACCCCTTCCGCCTACCTCCCCACCACACACAGCTGGCACTACGAACCCTCCTTCATCCCTCAGACTTGCAGCAGGCAAGGCTTAACTTTCCACTCTACCCTGTACAGGATGCAGTCTTCAGACCACAACTAATGAACACGCTACTAAAAAGTCAACTCAATAATGCTACAGGCCTGGACAAAACGCTTCTTTATCTACAATCTCTGGATTCCACCCGCCCAAGAACATTTCTTAACAAGGCCACAGGATAAGCGTACAATAGGCTCCCTGTTTAACCGGCAGTGAGTTTTGGTAGCCTAACCATTCAGTGGCGATTTAAGTTTAGATTCCAGGCAAGACAGTTCTGGAGGCGGCAAGCTCCACCACTGTGGAGCGCACTGCGGATACAGACTCCACATTCTTCTCTGGCATTCAAGGAGCAGCACTGATCCAACTGTCTGCTAGAACGCACTGCAAGAGGCCCTTCTTTTGGCTAGGCTGAAAGAAGCTGCAGGAGAGGCAGTACCTACTGGGATGTCCCTCTTTTACAGAGAACGTTATCAACCCAAATCTAGCATATGGGACCCTCACGTCCCTTAATTTCCTCAGTGACTCTCACTGTAAATGTTGAGGTCTTGGACCAAATTCTGGAGCAGCATTATGATACAAGCCCAGGTAGTCAATTCAAATTTGGTGAGCAGAAGGACAGACTTTGGCACACCACATCAGTTTATAAAAACAAAGGCAGGATTACAAAGAATAGCTGCTGGCTACAAAGCCATACAGACGGTCGAGGAACAGTCAGAGCAGCTTTGCTTTCCAATTTTGTAGGTCTGGCACGTCATCAAGCCTGACAGACACTGGTTTTCTAATACACTTGTTCACTAGATCTCCATTACCCTGTTACAGAGTTTGGAGACAAACGCTGGGCTTTTAGATGAAAAGTGGTTTTGCCATGTAGGCCCTGATACCATCTGGCAGAATTCCCACTCTCCATCTCATCAATATCTATGCACCAACATGTGACACTGACCTGGCTGTAAGTTCCCTGGTAGAAGACAGGGTGTATCCTCCCATATTTTTCCTCAAACATATGAATAAACGAAATAATGTCACCCACTGGGTCAGTGACCCGACTACGAGGATCAGGGCGTATAAAACGCAGAGCAAACCTAGGAAGGAAGCAAAGGACACTGGAAATTCAGCTTACTAGACTTTCTGAAGAACGTGTTTTCTTTTCTGCAAATAGTCACCGGCATTCACAAGACAGGAAAAAAAAAACGTCACAGCTGAGTCCCTTGAACATTTACAATTACAACCTAAACTGCCACCTGCTCCAAACTGATATCACAACTAGAGAAAGACCCAGTCACATATCTCTTGTCAGACCTCAGCAAGTACCTGCATTCTCTGAATACTGCTGTATGATTAACAGTTTCAGCTTCTGAAGTACCAGGCATAGGCCACACCAACCATGAGGTTTGAGGAAATAGGTCAAACACCGGCTGTTAAAAGTCAGAGTTCTGTCCAGATTAACTTTGACAGCTGCATTTCTGCTTTCACACAATTCTAGCGTGTAAAGAGCTGCAGGAAGAGGACGCTGCACTAGGAATCAAATAAGTAGAGAGAAAAGAAACAACTGTTCTCAATGCTGAAAAAAACTATAGTTTAAGGCAAGCATCAGCCTTGTTTTGGTTTCAGTTACGCATAAAAAAGGGTTATACTGCACTCTGGAAAAGCCTTTAAGGAGGGAAAAAAGTAACAATAGAGGCACTGCCAAGACAACACAGATGGCAGGACTGCTGGAGATTTACCACTTTTCAACTTTCCCTTTTCTCTCTTTGAATTACAGGAGTGGTCAAGATGAACTAGGCCTTCGGGGCAGCAAAGGTGGAAGATGCAAAAGACACCAAGAAGGGGGAAAAGCAAATGTATTTACAGTTTGAGTTTTGCCAAGTAATATACTACACATTTTCCTTCTGTTTCTTTTCTCATCTCATCTACTGTATTCTAAAGCAAAGACTGAAGCAGGTGAACACAGAGCCTAACCCAATGGCACAAGATTCTGACCAGGTTGTGCATTTCTCCAAGAATATTCATAAAATTCATATTGCTTTGTGCATCCCCTTTGTCTGGCATTCACAAACTGTAAAGCCATCTTGATTTAGAATTCCAGTTAAATATTTATAAAGCTGTAAGGCACTTTTCTCTGCAATAAGGTTTATTTCTTACTAAACAGTGTAGGAACTTTACAAGGCAACACAAAGCCACACGAGCAAATACAGGGAAAGACAGATATGTCGTTAGACTGAACAAAAAGATCCAAGTGACAGAAGTACAGCCACCTCTAAGCTAAATTGAGCCTTCATGCAATCAATACATAAGAGAACAGCACATACCAGAAAATACTTACCTAAATATGTCAAGTAACGTGTAATAGGTAAATCGGAATGGAAGCATTATCAAGTAGTAACCCCATCCTAACAGACCCTGCAATTATAAACAAAGAGTTAGAACAGTCTCTACCCCAGAAACAAACCTGCTAAAGCAAGCGCGTCCATCAGTAAACACACATATGTGAAAGTAATTAGCCCTCTAACCCACCACCACAAAAAAAAAAAACAAACCAACCCTCAGCAACAGGTCATGATTTTGGACAAGTCGAATCAAATTTAAGTGACTGACGTGGTTCACTCCAGGAATTCAACATGACATTTTTGAGAACTGGTGTCAGTGACTACTTCAAAGAGCAATGCTTTTGTTCTCTGCTCTAATTTTCTTAGCTGTATAATGGGATTAATAGCACCGAGTCTTGCAAGGACTCGGGCAAATTTGTTCGTAAACTGATAATGCAAGTAGTTTAATCTGTACTGACGTTAACATATGTTATTTGTGTATGCCAACAAAACAGCTCTTCAAGGGTTTTAACAAGAAAAGAAGATTGCTACTCTGCACGAAAGAGGAGACAGTCCTTCATTCCAGCTGAATTGATCAACAACTCTTACTACAGCACAGCAAGATGCTGTATGACAAAAGAGTTGTCATGTATTGTGAATTACACCAGGGAGAAAAATATCCAAAATAAAAATAGAGGCTGAAGGAACAGTTCCACATTTTGTTTTCAAGAAGATAAAATGTTTAGAAAGGAGGTAACCGCACACAAAGGAAACACTTCCTTTCCCTGCTGGCATGTTTTGTTGTTCGCAGAAATCACTCAAGAAACATGACAGAAATCAACTGTACGATAACTTGCCCTTGGCTGTGGCCTTGATACAACATAGCTGTAGATCCTGTGGTCGGCTGTATTGACTTGCAACGGCCGAGACGGAGGTGGATTAAAGACACTCGGCACACCTTCTTGCTCGTTCAGTCGGTCCTGTACAGCTGCCTATGATGCAAGAACAAGTAAAGGAACACTTCAGACATTTAAGGAGGGCAGAAAACATCTTTGTTGTACTTTCAACACTAACAGTAGGTATCAATTGTCCACAGACTCAAAGCACCCGATAAACACAACTCATTACAATACACTGTAAACACCAATACTCATTTCTATACAGAAAAATCTTTTTCAAGGCACTCTGCATGTATCCACCATGAGAACTTAAATAGTGTGTCAAGCAAACGTTCACAGCCTTAAATTCTGCTGCATGTTTCTGAAACCAGCTCTCTATCAATACACCAAGATGTTCTTATAAGAAACTGCTAGGGTAAATACACAGGTTAACCGTTTAAATCTTACTGCAGGAACGCTCTCCTCCCCCCGCCAACTCAGTTTAATCCACATACTTGGGAACAGCCAAGAAGCTAATTTTAAACAATACCTCTATGTTCCAGTTGTGCTGCTCCAGTGTGTGACGACATTGGTCCATGGACTCTATGCCAGTCAAGTCCTAAAGAAGGGGATAAGAGTGAGTGAGTGCCAGGGAAGCACTGTTTTTACAGTTCCGTGCAACACTTGAGCACAGACAGGAGTTACTGCAATACAACGTCAAAAAGCAAGGCTCCTCTCTAAAGCTCTCTACTCTCAGTTCAGAACAGAACAGCTGGAGCTACTGTACCCGAGCCAATCCAAATCCACAAACACACAGGAAAGTGGCTGAATTCAAACAGGCCTTTGCACTCTTCCAACATCAGTCAATCTTCAGTGTGTGAGGTCTGTAACTAGAATTGCATTCAGTGCAGTCAAGAGGGCTATCAGATGATTTTGCCTATGAGTTTCACTCTGGAAGGCTACAGCAGACAGAGACACTCAAAAATGTCTCCTCAAAGCACCCCCCTTAAATAGCTCAGGTAAAGCATTTCTGAAATCTTACAACCACCATTACTTCATTCACTGCAAGTATAAACAGAGATTAAAAACAAAACAAGCCAAATGCCACTGAAGTGTCTTCCAGCTTCACGGGAGATGCTGTAGTAAGAAGTCCAATCCAAACTAGGCAGCACCTTCAACAGAAAACGTAATTCAAACTCACCCATAGACTTCAGTCTCTGGGCTCTCAATTCAACATTTGGGAAGGCACATTTTAACCCTCTGCCATCAGAGCTTCTGCACAAGAGAGCAAATGAGAGAGTATTTGCTATTAACAAGATGCTAAGGCGGCATCTCTTAAATGGAGATGAATCTTCACTGAAGTGAACAGTCCTGTCACCGGGCCAAAGAAATACGTCTCTCTAAACACCACTCATTGTAAGATCTTTCAGCAGACATTTCAGGACTGCATACTGCACCCATCACCACAAAGCCCAAGCATGCATTTTTATGGGAAAGCATAAAGCCGCAAATGTGCTGCTGCTAACCTTTTAACAACAACCACTTGAACCAGTCAGTGAAAGTTATGTTCATCACAGGTGACACCATTAACAATGCCAGCAACTTTGAAGGAAATAGAACTAATGCTAGGCCTAGTTTTATTTTAATATATAAAAAAAGTAAAGTTTTTTCCACTGAGTATCAGAAAGCCAAGAAAACAGTTACATTTTCAGAAACAATTTAATCTAGATACAAGATGGTGGAAGGAACGATAGGATTCACTTAATTGTCACATGCAATATAACAGATCCAATGAAAAAAACGCACCTGTGATGTAAGAATATTGGCGAAACACGAACACTTCTCTAGCAAAGTAATTTGTGACAAGGCAACTCCAGAGACAAGGCTTCTTGTTCTGACCTGATGGACTTCTCTCCAGACACCTGCTAGGTTATGAATTTGTCTCTGGCTAGGTGGTTTAATACTAAAACAGGAGGGTCCATCTCCCTCAGCGGCTCAGGGATTGGAACTGAGAAATCAAATAGATGCTTTCCTTGAGCCACACGTGCCTATATGGGTTGCTAGATGTCACGACAGGTGAAGCCTGCTGCGCTGCAGAAGTTAGGTTAACTAGACTACCCAATAGCCTTGCCTGTTCTTTGACTGCCAGTTCTAGGGACTCTTTTATGCAGCACTTGAGAAGTTCCGGGCCTTGCAGGAGCTCAGCAAAGACTTGGGAACCTTTGCTCCCTGCATCTGCCACACAATATAGCACAGCTTTTCTGCAGGAGGCAGCTTGCGATGATTAGAACATAGCACTAACTTGATATAAATCCTTTTGGGCAACCTCTATTACACCTTTTGCTCCAGTCCATTGTTAGCACTCCCATTCAATTTTGCTTGCCATCTCCCTCGATTTCTTGTCTCATTTAAAAGATTGTCAGGCTGTCCTGATAAGTTTTGCTCGACAAGAATTAGTTGACCATTTCGGAACACACTGAATTGGGATTTTAGTTGCTGTACTGGAGAAGGATGGTACATCTGCTCCGCTCCCTCCTCACAGCCTGCCCCCCCCCCAATTCAAATGTTCCACATGCTATTTCCTCTCTGAAGTCACTCCATGGACAAACGCCTTATTCAATATCTGAGTTCAATTCTGCTGCTTTTGAGCACTTGATTTCTTCCCCAAGAAGTCGCCTCAAATTTCTACCCTCTCCCCAGTCTACTGGGCAAGAATCACTGCTCCAATCTGCAGCACAGAATTGGACTCTTCAAAGCGTTACTGAGATTAACTTGGTTGATTGTAGCCATTTAATAGAAAGAGCTTCAGTCACTGCCCAATGGTGCATAAATATTTATTAACCAGTAAGCCTGCAGCAGACATTGCATTGGAACGCTCTACTTCACTAAGCTTCATTTCCTCTATGAAATTCATCTGAACTTAGCTTTTGCTGCCAGAATACTTTAGCTTTACAGTCAGATTCACGATTAGCATTTTAGCTTATGGATCTTACAAGATTCACGGAGTAAAATTCTGGTCTTGTAGTCTGATTTTTTTTTTAACCCCAAACTCCTACAGAAAACCCTTAACTGTCTTCTTAAAAGGACATCTTTTAGAAGGCATCTGTGATTTGTTTAATCATTTGATTTTACCATGGAGTCTTACATCTTTGAAATACATGCATTGTAAGTCTTCTGATCTGGGGTGTTCCACAACACCCCAGAAATTCTGCTGGCGTTTGCAAATTTAAATAATTCAGAAGCTCATTCACACCTTTGTCTCTAAAGATAAGAATTATTGCTAGGCACTATTAACAGGGCTTTATGACTGAACACACTCGCCTTTTTAAATTATGCAAAATGCAGTAGCAGTTTTAGGTCAGGAAGCAGCCAAAGTAACAGTGGTATGTAACTATCAACAAGCGTTTAATGAATACTGAATGTCTGCAGTACTTGCGAGAGCTACTGAGCTTCACAGAGACAGAGTACATGTTGGCTAACTTCACTGTTTCGACCACCGTTACACAGTGACGAGTACAGTGTTTGTCAGATCTCACGCTCTTCTATAAAGGCACTTTTCAGTGTAGAAATTTACACTTTCCTTAGTATCTTGATACAGTTGCTCTCAACAATGGAAACAGTAAAAACAAACCACCCAGATGCCAGATAGAAACACTACAGTTCCCAGATGTTCTGAAAGACATCTATATCTTCAGAATAACTTGCAGTCAACGTAAGGAGCAGCACAAAGACAGTTCAACTGTCAGTTTAAATGATACTTCATGGTAAAAGCAGATATTGTTCATTATCACTCTCAACAACTACTTACACCGTTATCCCAGCACCTTCTGTGATTACTACTTCACCTTAGTCACAGAAACAGGTTAGAAACTTGAAGCAACACAGCATTCCCACCTTCCAATCTGCAGCATTTCTAGTGGATCTTGTGGCTATTCTGCCAATTGCATTATTCATACACAAGACAAATGAGCATATTCTTAATTTCTCTAAGGTTAACAGAATAAACAGCATCTTCAAACCACGAACTAATAGTTTCCGGCTCACTTTCAGTTGCTAGTTACACGCCTCAGAGTTCACATCTTACATTGACGCAGTAAATAATAAAACGATGAGGCCCATCGTAGAGAAAAACAAAGCTAATTCCAGTAAGCTAGCACGCTCTTAAATGGAAGCCTCCAAACAAACGCAGGTCCAAACTGAAATTTGGGGATAACAATCTTTAGAAAACAAAACATTAAGCACACAAAAGCCAGAAATATTCAGCATTGCCTTCTCAAACACTGTTCTTAAAGCAGAGCACCTTCCAAAAACGTACTGAAGTTCCTTTTAGATACAATTTTTTTTTAATCTCTCGCCTCTGAGAGGCTGCTATTGTAAGCATTTAATCTCTCGCCTCTGAGAGGCTGCTTACAATGCTGAAGCCTTCTTAATACTGAAGTAGTGGAAAGTGCAATTCCACATTTTCAAAGCCAAAGGAACACCCTCGAGTGGACAAAGTTTGTAAACTGAACTTAGGAGATTGTTCCCTCTCCAGATATGAGCATGTGTTGAAACAGCATAAGAGATGCAAATCCACACGAATATAACGGGCGCTGTTCTTAATTCCAAACCTACTGCCAAATTCCAGAGAATTACGTTTCCAAGGGTAAAGAACATCTGACTTCGGGGTGGGGGGTTAGGAGAGAAAAAGAAAAATACTTTACCGCTAGTTTCTCTTTGCATGTCATAGCAAATGCATTCATGAGGGTTTTTGATCGATATGCAGTACACTAAGTAGAAAAGCTGTTTGGAGTGCCTTATGTCCTCCAACCTCTTTCACTGCGGATGTTTTCTGCCTTGAGCGTTCTGTTTTCCCCAGCTGAAGTCAGAAACGGTATCAGGAGTACTAACTTCTCTTCCCTTTTGCAAGCAACATCGCATTGCTTTAGATTAGCATATTCTAACTACAATAGATACCAGCCCAAATGTAATGGGCACAGATCAGTAACGAGATCATGCAAAAGCTGCTTTGCTGTGTCTTCCATCTTCCAAATGGAATCACATCTCCACAGCTTTCTTAAGCTATTCACATCCAGTTTTTCCCTAAAGATGTCAGGCAGCCAAGCCCTGGAAGATGAAAAATTTAAGTGCTTTTGCTCATTTATATTAGCCAATGCCTCAGCAGTAAATGGGAGGCTGAAAGCATGCAGGAGTGCCTTTGTTGCTTTTATTCCAATTACCTCTCCATATTGGTACTCTGGCCACCCCCCCCCCCCC